TTTTATAATTAAGTAACTCCCCCGCCCTCCCCAAAGGGTGGCGTTGAAAAATTTTCCGCTCCTTAGAGGGGCGGCAGCTTCAAAAAGGTTGAGAATCACCGATCTAACCCCTTTCTTTCTTGCACGGGGGCTAGCTTTCCAACAGCTCCGTTTTCAGACTTTGCAAAACTTCATTTTAATTTTCTTTAGGTTTCCTTGGATGGTTCAGTTTGGAAACCTTTCCAAGCTCCTGAGTTTACAGTTCAGCTTATTCACACAATGCACTTTACCCAGATCAACCCAGTTTCAGGTTTCACACCATACGTTTGGGTTATGTGCCCTGGTTGAGGCAGTTTAAACATTTTAAAAATAAACCTGTGCACCAAACGGGTTGGGTTCAGACAACATACTAAGCTAGGGGGAAAAAAGACTAATCAAGACCAACTCTACCCAGCTTGGCCTGTCTTGTGAACACAGCCAGTATAAGAGGATGGTGTGAAAACAAGCAAGAACTCCAACATTTGCTTTCTTCTCTGAGTCTTGTCTGCAGAGGTGGATGCCTCCAGTTCCCCCAGCGACTGGCGGGGTCTCATGGGAGCTGTAGTTCGAGACAGCTGACTCTGGAGGGAGAAAGAGGCTTTTAGGGGAAAGGCAGCCTTGCGTGGACGCTGGAGCGCAAGGCTCTCTCCTCCTCACGAGGTGGCAGCAGAACACCGAGGAACCGAAGCCCTGAGCTGCAGTGCGCTGACTCTGCTCCGTTTGTCCGCCCGTTGCAAAGTGAGACACAAGTAATCCCGCCTGAACTCTAGTCAGTGATCAGGGGCCGTGTGAAATGCTTCCTCTACGTGGCAGCCCATCCTTCATTTCTTAAGCACTCGCTTGGTGGGCCTGCAAAATTCCCAGGAACCCTGAGATTCATTTGTCAGTCTTCTAGGCTGCCTGACTCCACGTGGACCCTGGGCAGCTTCACGAGATTACAAGACAGCAGCGTTTTAGATAGAAAAGGATGCACGATGTTGTAGAAGCCACAGCAATTGTCCAAACCCCAACTAAAGGGGCGAGAACATCCTAACCCAAGGCCTGGCGGTGGGGGGAAATTCAGGCTTTTAGGGACTTCTTGAAGGCAGGCAAGGTGGGGGGCCACGTGGATCTCTGGGGAGATGCTATTCCAAAGGTAGGTGTGGCAACAGAGAAGTCCCGCCCTGCTAGATGGCCTTGTTTAATTGATGCGGTCAAAAGAAGTTAACCCTGTTAGAGTGAACAGGATGGACAGACCCCACGGGGGATAGCCGGCCCCTCAAATAGCCAGGCCCCTTACCATGTAAACTCTAATAAGCAGCACCTTGAATTGCACCTGAAAGGTAATTGGCAACCAGTGCAGATCACAGAGCATGGATGTTCCATGGGTATAGCGTGGCCCACCCATCACTGCTTGTGCCACTGTCTTCTCGACCAGCTGTAATTTCCAGACTGTACTGCAGTAGTCTAACCTCGAGGAGACCAAGGTTTGAGTGACCATGAGGAGAGTCACTTGATCCAGGAATAGGCAGAACTGGTGCACAACATGAACCCGTGCAAACACCTTCCTGGCCACAGTGGGCCCTTCTCCTCAAGCAGGAGCTGGGAGTCCAGGAAGACTCCCAGCTTGCACACGAGTCCTGAGCAGGTAGATATTAGATGGACATTGTCCAGGGTACCTGCATCCGGTGATGAGGAATGGCCGATGCAGCCAGCCTCTCTCTCAAAGAAGCTGATCCCACCACATATCACCATCCAGCAGCCTTCATAAGCCAGGACAGACAAGGATCTAACGAACAGGTGGCCTGAAGGTCCTGTCTTCTTCTTCAGGAATTATAGGATCAAACTCCTCCCAGGTAACAAAGCCAGACCGTGCCTCCACCATGTTGGCTGGACTTGCCCAGCTGGAGTCCAATTCTGAGTGACTTTGCTGGATGCCTTCACAGCAGCCCAACAGATGGTCCTGAGGCTCATCCTTACCCACACCCTGCCTTACAAACCCCCCCAGTCCACCAGATCAGAACTTAGGCCACACAGCTGGTAGGCAGCCCATCTACCTAAGCAGATGAAAAGAGTCCAGCAGTCACCACATGTGGCCAGACGCTGAAGAACCATGCAGCTGCAGGATCCAAACTGGTGGTGAAATGTCTCCCAGTTCAGCCTTGCCCCCTTCAGCCATAGCCCAGGCTATAATCCTCCACCAATGAGGTCCAAGGACCCAGATGAAGATGGCAAGATTTCTGCCGTTGCTCCACCCAATCTGGCATTCCTCCCACGCCATTGCCACCTGGGCCAAAGCCCCACACCGGACCCATCCAGAGGACCTGGATTGGCCAACAAATAGTCTACGAAGAGGCCCCCTCCACCAAAGCTGGCCACCCCAAACTCCAGAGCTTCCTCCAAAGAGATAAACTGATGTGTGCCACCCGTGGTTTCTGACTTCCCACTGTAATCGAGTGCTTTGGGCTTCTGCATATTTATGCCAAAAATGCAGCGTGACTAACGTGTGGCAAAACCTACCTTGCAAGCCTCTGCATCCTTCTTCTGCAAAAAAAGGCTTCTTTTCTTCCTTATTCTTTTGGATTTCTCTCGGGGGTGTTTGTGAGCGGGTGGACTGTTGGCAAGTGGCGGAAGATGGTCCCGCTGATGTCAGTGTCTTTGTTCACGCATCTCTCCAGCACCCTGAAGTTGCCCTGACACTTCCACTCATCCCCAGCTGAAAAACCCCTAGGCAGCAGCGGGAAAGGATACCGTCCCGGTTTTTCTTCTGGGATTGACTGAACCAAGTGTGGGAAACCAGAGAGCCAGCAGATCCCTGGAGAGATTCCTTTGAAAGCCAAACCACCACCCAACCACAGTACAGTCCTTCTCCCTGCGGCCTCCCTCTGCCTCGCCACGCATTGAATATTTTCTGCTGTATTTCAAGGGCAGTGAAGACTGTACTGTTTAAATGGACCTTTTGTGAACAGACTGAGATTTATCATGCGTTATGGATGGGCTACTATGTTGTTATTACTAATACTTCCAGCTGACTTTGGGCTTGAAATGACTAATTTCTGTCTTTTCTGAATTGGAAACTGTCTAAAGCCAGAGAAGCTGAGTAGCATTATAAAGTATTATAAAATGATAAGGAATAATAAGATGCACACATCTCATCACCAAATGCCACCCTTACACATTGTGACAATCTTGTTCTTGCTTTGCACAACACGGTGTGCAACACACAACCGAAAGATGCTAATACCAGGTGGGAAACCAAAAAAAAAAACCCCACATCACCCAGCGTAGTTAAGTATGTGTGTAAATACAGCTAGAAAATGCAGGAATGCTCCAACTGTGATCATTTTAGTATTCTCTTCTCCTTTGGAAGGTGTCTTGAAAGCCATTGCTCTTTCTATAAACTAAAGGAAAGATCCCACATTTATCTAGCCTCCTAATCAGAGGGTCTAGAGTTGTCAAATGCTTTGGTGAAATCAAGATATATTACCTTTCCAGAATGCCCACTATCTACCAAGGAAGTTGTTCAGAACATTGGAGGAAGTGAGTCTGGCAAGACTTGATCCTGACAAATCCACCCTGACATCTGATAATTACGGGGCCATTTTGAAAAGATTTAGAGTCCTCCTCTTTATGATCTGCTTTACGATCTTCCCTGGTATTGATGTCCCCATCAATTCCTCATGCTGGCTGGGGAATTCTGGGAGTTGAAGTCCACACCTCTTAAAGTGGCTGAGGTTGAGAAACACTGGATTAGGCAATCAGCATGGTTCTTCAGTGCTGGAGGAGGCAAATCAAGTGGTCCCGAAGCTTAAAATTAAAAGCAAAGAGGTACCTACCATTCCCAAGCTGAAATCTTGCCAACGGTAACTGCCTCATGGCACCCGAAGGAACTCCCTGGCATTCTGCACCACGTTAAATCACCACGTAACGATTTTTTTTAACATAAAAATTTATTAAGAAACCAAAATATTCATAAATCCAGTTGTATTTATATATGCAGCTTCACTACATCAAAGCAACACAGATCTTGACACAGACACACTGAGGCTTCACCGGTACCTGCTATAAATAACATTCTTGTACACTGCAGATACATATAAATTAAAAAAGAAAGAATACAGCACGTGCACCTTCTCATAAATAGAGATCTTTGAAGAGCTCCACCACAAGCAATGGGTGTTGGGCTCTGCCCTGATCAAGGTAGTGTGTCTCCCCTCCCCACCATAACTGAAATTGGGCAGAATTTTTAGGTTACTTCTGAGAGAAGGAACGAGCTTCTCTCCCTTCTTCTGGGGGGGGGGGGTTCATAATTTAAATTTCCACATTTGGGCTGTTACTTTGGTCCAAGCAAAAGGACTTC